CTACAACTTGGTTAGTGTCTTTCTTATCCTGCCTTTGTCCCTAGTAACTTGGTAATTGTTTTTCTTCCACTTCCTTTAAGCTTCCCTTCTTATGTCAGAATGTTAAACAGATCCCTGGTACCGTACCTGCCCATCCCTCTAGCATCCCATCCAGTTTCCCAAAACCTAGACATGAAGAGGAAGGCAATGATGACACAACACCCTTTCATCCCTCCCCTTGGCCCCAAGGGACAACATGAGGCCGGCATGCTCCTATGTGTCACACATGTTAATGAGGCCCAAAGCCATGGCACGCATCAAGGCCACGTTCCAATCCACGTCAGCCACGGCTTCCGGGGACAGCGGGCTGTTGATGATAACCCCAGGCTGGTTCTGCAAGAAGCCTGGCCTCACCCCTTGATGCTCCCAACAAGTAGCAACACTCTTGGGAAATGCATGGGAGACAGGAAATACAGAAAAGGGAAATATGGAAAAAGTATTTTATGTAGACATTTATGCCCTGCTTTTCTCCTCAGTGTGGCTTACTGCCATCCTGTGAAGTAGGTTAGGCTGAGAGTGACTGGCCCAATGTCACCCAGAAAGCTTCCATGGCACAGTGAGAATCTGAACACTGGGTCCTTGCCCAACCCTTTGACCACTACTCCACGTTGGCTAGCTGGTCCTCAGCTTTCCCTATACTATGCATATCTCAAGCAGACAACACTTTACCAATACAAGAAATAAGGATCCAGGAAGCCTGAATTCCATTTCCTAACCCCTACTGAATTAGATCCTCCTCTTATTTTCCTGACCTGACATTTAAAAGACATGAGCTCTTACTAGCAAAGTCCTATATTGCCCCCCCCTTAGCCTCTTAATTTTTCTCACAGCTGGGGACAGAATACAGAGGAAACACACACACCCCAACTCAACTCAGGGCTCCCTACTCCTAAATGATTTAATTCACAGCCAACAGATATTTCTTCATCCATCTCTCTAACCTATCAAAAGCTGACAAATAAAACACAAAAGGCCTACCATCCTTCACCTCACAGGACATCTCACCTGTTCGTTTACTCCCTTTCCTTTTCCAAAGCAGAGGTTCAAGTGTGGGTGTCCTCTGTCAGCTTCCCCACTGTCTCAAGATCCTTTCCAAAAGGAGATCTGTGGAAACTGCCATTTTTTTCTTTTACAAAAAATGAGTCTGTGCAACCAAAACTTTAGAAACGATGCCTGAGATAACTTCAACATTTAATTTTCAGCTTGGATTTTGAACCCAAACGCTTGGGTGGTTGTTATGAAGAACTGAGATGCTTCCTTTGGATGTGTTTTTCACTCAGACATGTGCTTCGTACCTTTAAAAAACTACATGCATTAACACTACCTGTCAGTTCTTTTGCTAGAACCCCACCCGTCAAAAACCTTTTCTCTGAGCCACCCCACTATGTTATGGCTGAACCTCCTGTGCCCAAAACACTACTTTGGTCAATGAAGTGATGAAAGCTTGAGTTGCAATGAATTTTCATAATAGTCCTAGCCTAGGAGCAGGATAAGCCAAAGAAGGCACTTGTCCTAGTCTGTCTCTCACCTTACCAGCACAGGTTGATTGTAACTGCTCCATTACAACCCCCCTCCCACTTACTTGTTTCTGAGTCACCTTGACTCTTTTTATCTATGGCTGAATATCTGAAGCCCATCATTCCTTGTTTTGACTTGCCTACAGCTTCACATACGTGTTGAGTTCAAGGCATCTGATGGATGCCTAACAATGTCATATTCCAAATACAAAATGCTTGGAGCTCTGATGGTCACAGATGTACTGCAAGCAGGTGACAATGGATACAAAACCCACTAGCCTGGGGAACCTAATTCACGCACATGCTGCCTCTTGCTTTATGGGCCCATCCATCCACCTCTACATCCATATAGCACATTTCCTTTTATGTCAGCAACAGATATAGCCAAGCACATGGTCTCATAGAATCCATCTCCTTTCCCAGACCTGTGGTAACTGTGACCACCAGAGACATATTTGCTTACTTGTTGGCTTATTTATTTTTACTTTATTTATACCCTACACCTTTCACCCCCAATGGAGGCCCAAATCAGCTTACATCATTCTCCTCCCCTCCATTTTATCCTCACAACAACCCATTGAGGTAGGTTAGGCTGGGAGTGTGATTGGCCCAAGGTCACCCAGTGAGCTTCCATAGTATGAGCGGGGATTAGAATGTTGATGTCTCAGATTCTAGTCTAACACTCTAACCACTGCTCCACACAGGCTCTAGAGGGGAGCTTCCAAACGACTGAAATGTTTAGTTAAGCAGAGTGTGCAGGAGGGCCATTACCAAAGTAGAAACTGCCAAGCAACAGAGAAAGAAGGTAATGAGACTGCAGGATCAGGACCCAACAGGTGATATATGCGTGACTTTCACTGCAGCCCAGCCAGCTATGCTGCTCTACCAGTTTCCCCCACAAATTTATATGCAGAAAAAAACCTCTGAAAGTCCCTTGAGAGTGTTAATCTGTCCTGCCACGCACACACTCTGGCTAACTGCTTGCATCTGTCAGCATGGCCTCACTGACATGTAGCTACTTCCCTTTAAGAATTTTTCATTCTTGAGCAGCCTAGCTTTCTTTTTAGGCTCTTGCTAGAGACTGCTCTTAGGGCCTTATAATACCGGTTTGATTTCTGTATGACTTTTTTAAAAAAGTTGTCAGTTAAGTATTTCGGAGCAGAAAGACATGGGGTTTCTGAGAACTTTATGGTCAAATTATTCTAATTCCTTTATTCCCCTGTATCAGAGAGAAACTGTACTGCAGAGCAAGAGAGCTCATGTCTTTGATCATCCATACTATTGTCTCCGATTACAGATGTTGTCGCTTCTCATTCCATGCTCATGGTCAAGTGACCAGTGTCTGCAGAAGGACTGGAGCAGACCGGCAACTGGGGAAAGAAGCACTAGCCAGATCATCATAAATAGGCCTTTTTGTTAGCAAGGTCTTTAAAGGGAACAACTTTTTGAGAGGCAAAGTAGTAAAGTATAGAAGGGGTTTTTTTGGGGGGGAGGTCAAGAATCCTAGAGTCGTCCTCCTCACCATCCAGCTATGAAACCAATTTGCCTTAGGCATGTCATAATGTCTCAGCTGCCTACCATACTTCACAGGGGTGTTCTGAGCTCAAGGAAGTAAAGGCAGTATCATATAGGCAAACATCAGACATTTCTATTTATAGAAATCTTGCTTTAAGGAGATATAAAAACCCCAATCCTAGCAGGAAGCCTCTGAAAAAAATGAATTAATCCACTAGCACTGAGAATGTTGACTATGTGATTTTCCTGCCTCCAGCCATAGTTTAACTATGACCTTGTGATAATTCACACTATCACATTTACAGGCAGTACCCATTGTTAATAGTTTTGTTAACTCTTACATACATTTGGGTTTGGTGTTTCCGGCCCTATAACGTGCGAACAAGACGTTTCAGTTGTCCGGATTGCTGGGTCATAACTATTTGGAGTTTGTGTTTTTGCGGTGCCCTGGGACATTCCCACCCCCAAGGCATCAAGCCCCTTCCTTCTTTGGCTGGGAATTGACATCGTCCGAGGCCCCTATGCCTGGCAACGTGGGCGGGGATTCCCGGAATGGAACCCGACCAGAAAACGTCACTAAGCAGAAACTGACCATATATGGTCGTCTTCCTCTGCGTCAGAACGAAAAGCCCCCTCCCTTTTCGGCCCACTGGCTCCACCCACTTGAGCTGAAGTCAGAACTTGTGAGATCGAGGAAGTGAAGCTAGGCGTGGGAGGGCCCGTCCCCTCCCCTCGCTGGAGAACGGGAAAAGGGTTCAGCGGGTTTTCTAAGCATTAGGGCCGTTAGCATCAAAGCTCAGAAATAAATACAACATCAAAGAAAAGCGGGGGAGGGGAAGGAAGAAGCTCCAAAACCCTCGAGAGAATGACACGAGGCATAGAGAGGAACACAGCATCCAGGCAATAGACTGATTAGGAGAAAATCAGGCAGAGAGGGAAGAGAAAAAGAAGGAACCTGTAGTTAAAATGGCAAGCAGGAAAGATGACGTACCTTAATTGTTCTAGGCTTGTAATTTAATAAGCCACTTAGTAAGATCAAAACACAGGAAGGGAGAGGGCCCCGGAAGTCTTAAGCTACCAGCAGGAAAGCCATTAAGTTGTTGCTAAGGTAAAACAAACATCTTCCCTCCTCTGAATTCTAAGGAAGTAAATTGTTCCTACAGGGAGTGGCAAATATCCCCCTTTATGGAGACCAGCAAAGGGAAGCCCCGTTCTCCAAGACCAAAGAGGGGGAGGAAAGAAAGGTAGATAATTTTTTGCTGTCAATGAAAAAAGGAGGCACACCGATAAAGTGGAACATTTTTACTTAAATAGCTTCAATAAAAAGTCAAAAACACAAATACAATCTTTTGAAAAAACTGAATTTGAGGACTCAAAAAGAAATAAGAGCACAAGTAGTAAACACCCCCTTCCCTCTCCACAGTGACCCTTTTGTCCACATACTGGCCTCTTCGGAGAAAGAAAGCTGCCGAGATTTCATCTCTTCCGTGGCAACCTGTCTTTTGGTCCCTTTTGTTTCAATTATAAGTTAAAAGTTAAGCAGATGGTTATCCTTTTTTTCCACTGGAACAAGGAAGAGATCAGAGGACCAGTTTCTAGCTCTGTCCAGAGTACCTCCAATCCCACTGCACCATCCAGCGACGCAGCAGAGAAAAGGCTTATTTGTCTTTTTTAAAAAAATACATACACACATACACGCACAAGTCACTCGCACGCACAAATATAAAAAACTTACACTCAGCACAGATCGGGGATCTGGATCCACCAGATTTCGAGTCACGTATGGGAGGAAAAACAAAACAAAGACTTCAGAACTGAAGAGTTGGAAACTCGGCATTTCAGCCCGGTTCCCTGTAAACTTTGTATGACCAGTCCATTTCTTTTCTTCTCTCTCCCCCCCCCCCCCGCTTCCCCCGGCGTTTTGATGGAGGGTATCTGGGCCGGGTCCCCCTCAGAACGACTGCTGCATCTTGGCCGTCATGAGGAGCTGGCAGCCGTTGTTCACGTGGTTCATGACTTTCTGCTTCAGCTGCGCCACCTGGTCCCGGAGCGCGCTGGCCGTGTTGGAGAGTCCCGCGTTCTCGCTCTTCAAGGTCTTCACCTTCTCCTCCAGCCGAGCGATGCGCTCCAGCTTCCTCTTCCGGCACTTGGTGGCGGCCAGACGGTTGCGTAGCCGCTTCCTCTCCACCTTGATGCGCTCCTGGTCTTCCATGTTAATGGGCGACACGGGCGGGCTCTGCACATCCGGCACCGTCTGGGGCTCCTCTTTGAAGCTCCGGCTCGGGTGCGACAAGGCCAGGGCGTGGGACTGCGGCAGGTAGCTGAGGTTGGCGCTGGGGAAGCCGGCCGAGCCGCTCAGGGAGCCGGCGGGGTTGTAGCTGGTCAGGTTGGTGTAGACGGGCGGCGGCTCCTGGGGCAGGGAAGCCCCGCCGTAGCCACCGCTGGCCGAGGCCGCCGTCGCCGCCCCGAGGGAGACGTTGGGGGGCGGCATGTGGTTCATCTTGTGCAGGTCGTCCAGCGCCTTGACGAAGCCGTCTGCGAAGCCCTCCTGCTCCTCCGTGGCGCCGCGCGGGTAATAGTACTGGCCCGGCGGCGTGGGAGTGGTGGTGATCACGCCGTGGCTGTGCTGGACGATGAGGCGCTCCAGCTCCGGGGCGGCCAACTTGAGCGAGGAGCTCGCGCTCTCGGCCGCCTGCTGCTGCTGCTGCTGGAGAGAGGCCGCGAAGTAACCGGCGGGGCCGTCCTCTTGGCCGCGGAGGTGAGGCGGGAGCTGGGACTTCAGGCCGCGGAAAGGCTCGGCTGACAAGTTGAGAGCCATGCCCGACTTCAGCGTCTTGTAGTCCTGCCCGTAGCCGGAGAGAAAGGAGTCAGGATAGAAAGGCTGCTCCATCTTCGTGCACATCAGCCACGCGCTGGGAGGGGCGAGGGGGACGGAAACCCGAGCGAGGACCGTCTCTCTAGCTGCCTGCCTAGGGGCGTGGGTCGGGCGTCTTCTCCCAAGCGAGGAAAGGCCGCTTCTGCCTCCCTCCCCAAGCTCCACTTCCAGATTTCAGCGGCAGGAAAGAACAAGAGGGGGGGGGGAGCCCGGCGCTCGCTCGCTCGCTCTCCGGCGGCTGCTTCCGCCACCCGCCTTGCCTAAGCTCTGCTAGCGCGGGTGATTCACGTCCGCCCCCCACAGAAGGCGGGCCCGAGCTACGAGTACGCCGGCACTCAACCCACCCGAGAAGCTAAAGCAGCAGGTACCGTACCAGCCAAGGGGGAGCCTCCGGCGCGCTACTGCCGATTGAGTTATCTCAGCTGCATCATGCGCCTCCCAGGGCCTTTTATTCCAGCCACACGCGCGGCGGTGGCGGAAGCGCGGCGCCATTGGCTGAAAAGCCTGTGCTGCTCCGCCTACCGCGGCGCACGCGAACGGGGAATTGAGCTCATTGCCCGGCAGCTCGTGGCCCAGTAAACAGCCCGCGGGAGGGGGGAGTTGTAAGGCGCCCGCGTCAGAGTAGCGGGGCTGGGCGGGGGAAAGCGGAGACCTGCGAGGAAACACGCACGCAGCAGCAGAACAGAAACTCCGGCGTGCTTCAGGCCGCTGAGAAACTCCGGCGCAGACGACAGATAACAAGTCTTCATGCCTTGACGGGTTTTCATTTTTTAAACTTGGCTGGGATTCGATATGGAAAATTCAGGTTTAAAACAGACCCTAAACTCGCTTTGTGCAAGTCATTCTCAGCCTAGAATACAGAGTTGCTGTGAATGAGGGTAAAACGAAAGAATGCTTGTTCCATGTAGAGCAGAGCTTTCTTTGAAGGAAAGGTAGGTTCCTGAAAGGGCTGGATATATGTCAATTTCACATGCCACAAGCGGGGTACCATAGAATACTGGACTAGGTTCTGGGGAGCTCCAGGCTCAAAACTACTCCCCATGGAACTCACTGGGTGACTGCCTAACCTACCTTTCAGGGCTGTTGTAAGGATAAAATGGAGGAAACCTGTGCTGCCCTGAGCTCCTTGGAGGAAGGGTTAGATACATATGAACAAAATAAACACCAGAAGCCCCAAATGATTCTGAAGAATTAGTACAGTTTCTTATGTTACCAGAACCCAGAGAATGCATTTCTTTGTAAAAATGGGCCATGCAAATAATCACATAAATGTCTATTAATGCTTAACCAACAGAAAAGTTTAGTAACATGAAGCAGCTTTTATAAGAACTCATCCCAAACATGCAATTATCTCTGGGCACAAAACACTCTTTTTTACATAACCTGCCCAATTTACCCAACATTGAGATATAAATGCACACCCCAGCAGGAGTCCAGGAGCAGATACTGATCACAGAAAGATGTACAGAATAATCACCAAGTAAAATGGAAAGTTTAAATACACAAACCACAAACACTTAAATACTCACACTAAGACCAGGGCCGGCTCACCCGCTAGGTGAACTAGGCATTCGCCTAGAGCGCTGGCCAGCCCTTAGGGGCACCAAACAGGACCCGGGGGGCCTCACCCACTCGCCCGTTGGGCAGCCCACTCGGCATCACATTTGTTTGCATTTTAAAAAAGCCTCCCCCAATGCCTCCCTTCGTGCTCAGCCAAGGAGGACTGGCAACAGCCACACATGGCCGCAAGGGGGCCGGGCGGGAGGAGCGGAACTTTCCAGGCACCCACTTTGGGCCGAGCCAGCCAACCAATGGTAAGTGCTGGACGGGTGGGCGGCGGAGGAGGTGGCCAATCCACCCGGGGCCGGGGCCTCGGGTGCCTCCGGCATAGCGTCCCCCGAAGCCCAGGGGGTGGGCGGCACCCCAGATGGGAAGGGAGGTGGGTGGGCGGGCGGCCACAGCCAGGGAAACCCAAGCAGGCAGGGAGATCCTCCATGTCGGGCGGCTGCTGCTGCTGGCTGCTCTGTGGCCGTGGATTGCCTCTGGATAGCTGGTTGCTTCGCGCATGAGGGACTCCCGCCCGGGAGAGCAGACCTCACGCAGCAACCCACTGGGAGCAGGGGGGAGGGGGTGGGGAGTTGAGGAGCTGACGGGACAGATGGGCTGCTCGCAGGTGCAAGGCAGGAAAGCTGAGAGGTGCATGGTAGGGGAAAAGGTGTGTAGGGCGGGGAGGAAGAGAGCAACTCTGAAAAAGCAGCGCGGCCGGGGGGGGGAGGGGAGGAATGGCGGTGGCTTTGCCACTGCCTGCCCAGCCGGAGAGGAGAAGAGAAGAAGAAGAAGAAGAAGAGATTGGATTTATACCCCGCCCTTCACTACCCAAAGGTGTCTCAGAGCGCAGGGAGATCCTCCATGTCGGGCTGCTGCTGCTGCTGGCTGCTCTGTGGCCGTGGATTGCCTCTGGACAGCTGGTGGCTTCGCGCATGAGGGACTCCCGCCTGGGAGAGCAGACCTCTCGCAGCAACCCACCGGGAGCAGGGGGGAGGGGGCGGGAAGTTGAGGAGCTGACGGGACAGACGGGCTGCTCGCAGGTGCAAGAGGAAAGCTGAGAGGTGCGTGGGAGTGGTAGGGGAAAAGGTGTGTAGGGCGGGGAGGAGGAGAGCGACCCAGAAAAAGCGGCATGGCCGGGGGGGGGCAAGGGGAGGAATGGCAGTGGCTTTGCCGCTGCCCACCCAGCCAGAGAGGAGAAGCCCGGCGAGGGAGGGAAGCAGCCGGGATCGCTGCCTGTTTGGGGGGGTGGCAGCAGGGGGGGAGGCGGTGGCGGCAAAAGGGAGATATCCAGGCCCCACTGGGAGGTTGGCATCTGCGCCCCGCCTAGGGCGCAAAAACACCTCGGGCACAGAGATATACTCTGCTCTGTTCAAAATAAGCAGATACACAGCTTTAGTGAGCCATGCATACTACAGTCAATTCCCAAAGAACATCACACCAAAAGAGTCAATAGAACCACAATTCAGAAGTCTATGCTGCTGTTCTTTGCACTGCACCATCAAAGTATATGCCTCTGTGTGTGTGGTATGGCTATCAAGTTGCAGCTGACTTATGGTGACCCTGTGTGGACCAATGGTCCATCACTAGTCCAACATCCTGTCTCACACAGTAGCCAATCAGTTTCTCTGGAATGCCAACGAGAGGACATAGAGGCTGAGGCCTTCCCCTGATGTTGCCTCCTGGCTCTGGTATTCAGAGACTGACTGCCTCTGAATGTGGAGGCCGACTCATAGCTATGGTGGGAGGGCTCTTTTTCTAGCAGGTACTCATTTGCATATTAAGTGACACGCCCCTAATGTAGCCAGTCCTACGAGAGGACATAGAGGCTGAGGCCTTCCCCTGATATTGCCTCCTGGCTCTGGTATACAGAGGCTGACTCCCTCTGAATGTGGAGGCCGACCCATAGTTATGGTGGGAGGGACTATTTGGGGCTCTGCCCCCTTCCTTAAAGGGCCAGCCCCAAAAGATTTCCTTCTGAAAATATTTTTAATTTTTATTCACATTTAAAAACTTTTTTAAAAAGGCACGTGCTCCCATGCCTTGCTGCAGTCAAACTGACCCGAGAGTCCCTGACTTTGTTGGGCTGAGCGTTTTCCTTCTCTGGAGGCAGCTGGCAACTTGCTGCTCTGTCTTCTGTTCCCTCCTTCCTCTCCTCCTACTCTGGCTTCTTGCACACTACACAGCTTGCAAAGCGGCCCTTTGGGTGCTCCAATGTCTTTTTGGATCTCTGCTGAAGGACTCTGGCCAGCGTGAAGATGCGCTCCACATGGTACTTCACCACCAGACTGAGGTGTTTGGCAGGGAAGGAAGAGAACCTGGGAAGGCTGTGCTCGGGCAAAAGCGTCTTCACACCTTTTCTCTCTCTTTCTGCACTTTTCTTCCACCTGAGCTGCACAGGAGGTGGTGGGAAGAAAAGCACTCCCTCTCCCAAAGAAATCAATGAGGGCAACAGCTTGGGAAGGCTTGCTGGAGCAAGAGGCAAAGAGAGATGCTTCTGATTCCTGGGGAGAGAAACTGAAGCAGGACCGGGGCGGCGGGGGGGAGGAGGTGTAAAGGAATTGGGGGTAAATAATGGCAGCTCCACCAGAAAAAAAAATGCCCCATAAGCCACAAAATCCTGGCTACGGGCCTGTGTGGAGGCTCTCTTTAGTCACCATGGCTAGTAGCCACTGATAGACCTATCATACATAAGGCAAGAGACATTCAGAGATGATTTGCCATAGCCTGCCTCTGCATAGCAACCCTGGATTTACTCAGTGGTCTCTCATCCAAGTGTTAACCAGGGCCAACGCTGCTTAGCTTCTGAGATCTTTTTTTAAATTTATTTTTTGTGTGTACACATGTGTGTGTGCACACTTGGAAGTCATGGCAACCTCTGGTGGCTGACCCCTACTGGGGGCCTGGAGGATATTCAGAGAGGTGGCTGAATAAAGCCTGCCCCTGTCTTCCCGACTGCGGGTATTCCAAGGAGGTCTCCCATCCAAGTACTTGCCAGAGTTGACCATATTTAGCTTCTGACAAGATTGGACTTGCCTGGGCTATCCAAGTCAGGGCCTTAGCTTCTGAGATCGGAGGCGATCAGGCTAGCCTGGGCTATCCAGGTGGGGGCATATGGCACTCTACAGACTTTCATATACAAAAATGGCAGTTCCCTACCCCAAGGAGCTTCCAGTATAAACTTTGACAGTGGGAAGGAAAGGGAGGGAACAGAAGAGAGACAGAGGTACAGGTAAAAAGGGACAAATGTGAGCAAATTAAGTTATCCATAGTAGAACTGGTTACATCTGAGAAGTAAGAACTGTGGATTAAATGAAAGGTTTCATAGGGAAGGTGAATTTGAAGGCTCCGATACACATATCACAAATATACCTCCCCAAAAATACACCCACAGCTAGAAGTACAAGGAGCAAAGTGATAATCGAGTCCAGTGGATAAGGTTTGGGTGGGTCTTTCTGCAAACACAAGTATATATTACATACTGTATAGTTCTCAGTTTTCTGCATCAGGGCTCACTTTGACAGATGCACTGAAGTATACATTAGATGCAGCTCTCCAGGGTCTCAAGTCCGAGGTCTTTCACATCACCTCCTACCTGATCCTTTCAACTGGAGATGCCAGGGATTGAGATCTTCTGCATGCCAAGCAGATGCTCTTCCACTGAACCACAGGCCCTCTCCTGATCACTCCCTGAGTGAGCTGATTACTCTTTTTATTGGATCTTGTTTTAAATTGGCTTCTCCTTGTAACATACCCCCCACACACTTTGGGAATATAAAAGCATAAACCTAATGGATATACACTCCAATACATCTGATGAAGTAAGCTGTGACTCACAACAGCTTATGCTGGAATAAATTTTG